ATGCGGCTGGGAACTGTCCGGACCTGCATTCCAGGATTTGTCCTCCACCTCCGGGCCTCATGGTCTTGCAAATCACTGAGCTCTGACCTTGCTTTCTTCATTTGGAGAATGCGGACCCAATCCCAGCCTGGGAGGGGCCCTGTGTCCCTCATCCCCGGCCCCACCCAGCTGTGCTAGCCAGGTGCTGTTGACAATGTTTTGGACCTCCAGGCAGGAAGACACGCAAGGCCACAAGGCAAGAAGTCACAGCCCGGTGAGACCTGGGTGGTGCCAAGGGATTGGGCAAGAAAGGCTGCCAGGGGGTGTCCACGCTCAGGCTGCCTTGCAGGGCTGAATCATGGGCAGGTGACAGGAGGGCAGAGCTAAGGCAGCAAGCTCTGGGCCTGAGCATGGGCTCCAGCACCATTGGGGTTCTGTCTGCAGGGACAAGGACTCTGGGGCACTTGTGAGAGCAGACTGCGGGGCTTGTGAGCATCTGACAGAAAAAGAGAGTGTATTTACACGATGTCTCCAGAAAGGGCCCTGGGAGCTTATTAACCTCCCCACCCCCGATACCAGGGATCAACCTCAGGACCTTGCGCTTGCCAAGCAGGCCTGGTGCCACTGAGCTAAATTATTGGCCCCGATACCCCACCTTTGACCAGTGGTTTTCCATGCAGGGGACACAGGACAGTGATGGCTGTCAACACTGGGGGAGCCCCTAGCCCGGAGTGGGTGGCAGTCCGAGAACGAGGGCCCTGGCTTGGCCTGTTCCTGGCGGTGACCTACAGAAGGTCATTGTGCCTCTGACTGCCACATTCAGCAATGTGGTGGCCTCAGGGGCCAGGCTCTCGGGGCCTGACTCCCGCTCTGCCCCCAGGTGGCCTCTGGACAGCACTTCCTGTTTGTGCTCCAGGGAACTCTGCAGGTCAGTAAGGCACGAGGCCAGTGCGGACACGGAGGCTGCCATCCCTTCTCCTGCCTGGTGCATGTTGCTCGCCTACCTGGCTGTCATCTCAGGACACTTAGGCTTCCTCAGCCCCTGGGGTGGCCAGCACTTTGCATTTCTCCAGAGATAGATAGCTACAGAGGGCTGTGGGTGACTTCTCCTCACGGCTGCAGGAGACATGTGCTGTGTGGCTGCGACGGGCATGGGACTCGGACCTGCCCGAAGAGCCGTCCCTCTGCAACTTCTGTGGTCAGATCTGCAGGGGACCTTGTCCTGGCCATGTCCCCCGACAGGAGCAACCTCTTGTAGGTCAGGCTGGGCCACTCTGTGCACAGTTCCCCCTTATGCGGTGGCACAAGTCCTAATCGAGCCTCTTCTGGATTGTGGACTCCGGCCTCTTTGTGACTTCTGTCTCGAGGAGTTGTGCACTGGCACCACGAGCAGCTGGTGGCAACACTAGGGACGGCGGGAGCCAGAGTGATGGGAAAGTAGGGGTTATCTGAGCGCAGGAGGGCAGCTAACAGTAAGAGCTGAGAGCTGCCGGCAGCGGGTAACACCCAGAGAGCTCCACTTCGCCAGTTCGTGATTTCTATGTGAGCTGAGCAAGGACCCTCAGCCGACTGGCAGCTCCCTGGAAGCCGGGACAGGGATCCTCCTCTTTAGGGGCCTGGAAGAAGAGGAGACAAGGCTCAAGAACCAGCCCAGGATGGACGCTTGTGTCCCGTCATTCTGCACTGCCACCAGCTGGCGGTGCAATGTTCCCGTCCTGGGTGACTGGTGACCCTGTCGTGTTCAACTGGATTTTCAGAACGTGGCCTTCTCCAAACAGGACCTTTGCATATGTAACCAGGTACGTGGGGTCATCTCTAAACCCAATAGCTGGTATGCTTTGACGGGGGCAGAGAGACACAGAAGTCAAGTGAGGAGGGACACAGAGATGGGGCAATGTGGCCCCAAGGCTGGGGACAGCAAGGATTTTCTGCAGCCACCAAAGCTGGAAGAGGCAGGAAGTACCCCTTCTAGAGCCTCCACAGGGAATGCGATCTTGCTGACACCTTGATTTCCAAATTCTGGCCTGCTCAACTTCTAGAGAATACATTTCAGGCATTTTAAGCCACTAAGTTTGTGCTAGTTTGTTACTGCAGTCTTGGGAGATTAATATAATCTTATATCTTCATCTGTGATTTTTATAGGGTGAGTGCTTGGGCAGTGTTCCACCTGGGCAACCATCCAGGTTGGCCTCGTCGCTGACCATTTTTCCTCCTTGAATAGACTCTTCTAGATGTCCCAGGATGCCACATCCTCCTAGCTTGCTCCTTCATCTTTGGTTCTGCCTGCTAGTCATTTTCACGGTTCTCCAAGGCTGGGGCTCCTGAGAGGGCAGTCCTGAGGGTCACATAGCCCCTCCTAGTTAATAGCCTCTTGTTCCAGGGCTACATCATAGCTGCAGACCCTCTGTCCACACCTCGCTTTGGCTCCTATGGGCAAGCAACTCCGGTGATGTTCTGCAAATCAGCACTCCCCACCCTGGCCCCAGCAGAACCCTGTGCTCAGCTCTTGAAGAAACTGCAGAATCCGCCCTCTATAGACCTCTCCTTCCCCCCAGGCCCCTGCCTGCTATCATCTCAGGACACCCAAGCTCCTTCAGCCCCTGGGGTGGCGATGGCTTGCTCTGCTGTTCTGCCCAGCTCCCCTGGGACTCCCTGGGGACTCCACTCTGGGGGAGCGGGAATCGTCAGGAGTTTAGACCCCCAGTGACCTCACCTCCCTTGGTGATTGGCTGAACACAGCTCTGCCTGGCTTTCTCCCCTTTCCCTCCTAGGTCTACCCCTCTAAAGGCACCATGCAGCCACCTGCCTTGGGCACTGTTTCCAGGGACCCCTATTTTATGGTTTCTATCTAGATGTCCTCCAAGAGCCTCATGCTCTCATTGGTGGGGCTTCCGGAAGATGACTGGGTTATGGGGCTATACCTGACTTGCGGTTAGGAGGTAGAGTCTGGTTGGAAGAGGGGGTTTCTGGGGGTGTGGCCCAGGGGAGTTTATTTTCCTTCTCAGCACTGCCGTTCGCTCTCTGCTTCCTGTCCGCCATGAGGTAAGCAGCTTTCCTCTTCCACTATGCCGCCGACCATTCGAAGACTGAAACTTCTAAAACCTGAGCCTAAATAAACCTCTTCTCCCTTAAACTGTAGGTCAGTTTTTTGTCCCAGCAATGAATAAAGTGACTAAGACACCCTGAGATTCCAGCTTAGACTTCCAGAGAGTGGCCCTCTGACTGAAACCTGTCACGTCAGCTTCTTCTAATCTACAGTAACGCTGAGTGTGGGCTCAGACCACTGCCACCCTGGGGACAGAAGTGACCAACAGGGCCCTTGCACCCCACTTGATTCAGCCCTAGTCTAGACCTTCCCAGGGCTGTGGTCTCACACTCAAGTGCTAAGGTGGCCTTTGGGCCAATACACCTGCTGGCTGTGAAGAGCCTTGAAGGACTGGGTCACCCATCTCTAGGTCCAGCCTTGCAGCTGTTGGTTCTGGCTGAGCTGATCAGGATGCCATGGAGATGCTAGGAGGTGGCTGGCAGAGTCGGGTGGGCCGGATTGCTCTGTGACCTTGGGCCCAGCCCTCTTATTTCAGGACCTTCAGAGCCAGAGGCACTGGTGCTGGTGGGTGCAGCTCAGTGGTACACACGTCTAGTAAGTGTGAGGCCCTAGGTTCCATTCACAGCATGCAAATACCAATCCGAGCCAAACCAAGTAAAAACAACAGTCATAGAAGGGAAGCGCAAAGGCCGAAACAAATGAGACCCTGGGTTGAGCCGTCTCAGCACCAACAAGCCCAAATTCACCAGCACCTGTCCAGGACCGCGCGGACTACAACTCCCAGAGTGCCCCGCATCAGCGCCAGAAAGAGGCGGTGTGCCTGTGCGTGGCAAGCTGGGAGCTGTAGTCTGACCCAATCCACTCCACTCTGTCCTAGGAAGCACACGGACTACAGCTCCCAGAGTGCCTGTGAGAGCTGGGTTCAGCGCGAGACACACCGGGAGTTGAAGTCCAGCCACCGTCCCGCCCGCGCGGGTCCGCACCTCTGCGAGTGATGAGCCAGGCGAAGATGCCAAAGCGCACGGCCTAGACGTTGCTGCTGCAGTAGGAGCTGCCCCGGAGGCTCCCCAGCGCCGCCGTTGGCCGGAGAACGCAGGCCCATGTTCTCGAAGTAGTGCGCCAGAAAAGCTATGGGCTCCTCGGGCCGCGCCTCTAGCACCTTCAGCAGGGCTGCGCGCAGCATCTCCGTCACGCCGACCTGTCGCAGGAAGTCCTCTTCGCTCTCGACGCCTGCCGCCGTCCGAGATACCGACGGCCGGCCACTGTCTGCGAAACTGGCCGCCGGGGTCCCCGCAGGCCGCCGCTTCTCCACTGCCGCCATCTTCGCTGAGGGCAGTGGGGCCGGAAGCGTTGTATTCTAACGGCGCGCAGAGGCCCCGGGAAGCCATGTTGGTTAAGGGCAGATATCATCTGCGGGTGGGGGTCCGGACGACTATGAGACTCCAGAAAATAAAAGAAGGCCATCCCTTTCCCAAGGTCTAGTTGGCATTATGTTTTGCTTCTGTTTGAATATAGTGTATCGACTGGCGCTCTCGGCTCTGGCTCTGAACCTGCACTTTACCAGATTCCAAAATAGCTCGGTAAGGGCTTGATTTGTGGCATGAAGCCTTAATGCTTGCCATATTGCTCGTGGGCGAGTCCTTTAGTAGCATGGTCTCTTAGCAACCAGTCTCCCTGGGTATCAGAGCAATCCTACTTAGCGCGAGGAAGGACGGATCTTCTCAGACTCCAGGAATGAGAGCCGCCTCCAGGACTTTTTCAAATGCTGGTCATAGTTTCTGCGTTTGGGTCAAGTTCGGCCCAGTTCTTAGCTTCCTTCCGCTCCTTGTGAGTGCGCAGCGCTGGGTTAGAGGTCGGTTTTGACCCCATTTCTGTCCCTCAGCAGCCTGGGTTTTCAATGAGCCGCCCAGGTTATACTCTTCCTAGCCACCAGATGGGGCATTCTACCACTGCGTCTACTATAGCTCTGAACTGTGGCGCCCCAGTTCCGTCGGGTCCAAGGTCCTCCTTTCCCTTCTGGGATGGCCAGCCCTTCGACTGCCCATCTCATTTCTAAAAGCTCTCCCAACTCTCCCAGCTCCTACTCCCCCTGAAAACAAGGCATTTCCCACCCCATAAACCGCCCTCAGTGTCTGTCCACAAAACCTCCGCACCGAACAATTCTCTAGTCCTTTGGAGACTCCTAGTTTCTCATTAAACTGTAGTGGCCCCTCACACAGAAGCGTCCACAAGCCCGTCGTCTCCCAGCCCAGCAGGCCCTGGTTTTCCCAGCTTCGCCCCATAGCAAAGGTGAACACCTGTCGCTGGGCAGTCACCCAGCGTGGCGTAGCATCGGAGATGTGAGGAGGTCTCGGCCTTTCTCTCAACACGATCGGCGTCACCAGTGGTCAGATCACGTGGCCTTTATTCTCCAGCCGTGGACCCTCAGGGTGGGGGAAGCCCGGCCAGCTGGGGATAGTGGTCACAGTTGCGTTGGCCCCCGGGGAATAGGGTACACAGTCAGCCCTGCCGCTGCCCAGAGCCCTGCAACTTGGTGTGTGGAGACACCGGTCACCCCACTGGGTCCTGTACACGGAGCAGCCCCAGAGAGACAGGCGGGTGAGTGAGGTCCCTGGCTGCTGGCCGGCAGTGTTTCCTCAGACCATAGGCGACCAGGGCTAGCAGCAGCAGCAGCCCCAGCACCACACCGCCCATCCACAGGGCCTCAGGCGGCTGGACCACCTCAGGGCTGGATGCTGGAAGGGGAAGAGGGTGGTGGTCAGGGCCCCGGACACCTCTGCAGGCTCCACAGCAGCCCACGCCGCCCAGGGGTCCTGAGGTCTCACCAGGGATTCTCATGAACCTCCCCAAATGTACCCAGGGCCTGATAGGCTGGACCTGTCTGGCAAGGTGGCCGCTGGCCACCATCTGCATGTGACATGGAGATGCTTGAACGGAATAGAGCTGCCTATCTTTCCATGGCTTAGTGTGAAAAGCTCGAAATATTGTGAAAAATAATGTGAAATACTCGGGTTCACACATTTTCAGGTAACCATGTTGACTTTTTCCTTTCCTCTTCCCTTTCCCTCTCTCATTCTCTTTGCAGTGCTGAGGATTGAATCCGGGTCTTTGCACTGAGCTCCATCCCCAGTCCTTTTCAAGTATGTTATTTTGAGACAGGGCCTTCATAAGTCGGTAAATTGCCCAGGCTGGGCTCAAACTCGTGATCCTCCTGCCTCAGCCACTCGCAATGCTAGGATTACAGGCATGCGGCACCGTTCTTTTTCTTTTCTTTCTTCTTTTTCAGCTTTTTTGAGACAGGGTCTTGCTGTGTACTCCAGGCGAGTCCTAAACTCACTATATGGTTCAGACTGGCCTCAAACTCATGGTGACCCTCCTGCCTCAGTCTCTTCAGCCCTGGGATTATAGGCAGGCACCACCATGCCTGGCTCCTGATTCTATTTCTATTTTTCTTTTTTTTTGTATTGGGGATCGAACTCAGGACCTTGTGCTTTTGAGGCGGGGGGCAAGTTCAGACTGGCCTCAAACTCATGGTGACCCTCCTGCGTCAGTCTCTTCAGCCCTGGGATTATAGGCAGGCACCACTATGCCTGGCTCCTGATTCTATTTCTATTTTTCTTTTTTTTGTATTGGGGATCGAACTCAGGACCTTGTGCTTTTGAGGCGGGTGGCAGCACCATTGAGCTGTCCTCCTAGCCTGTAAGGCTCAGGATCTACAGAAACCTCCAGCAAGGAAGCTCACTGGTCAGATTGGGAAACTGAGGCTAGCACGGCAAGGCCCTTTCTTGTTTAAAGTTGTTAATCTGCCTGTTTGTTTGAGACAAGGTATGTGCATAGTTCAGGCTAGCCTTGAACTTACTAGGTGGCCCAGGCTACGTAGGTGTGTGCTACCACACCTGGCTTGTCTAGTTTTTTTTTTTTTTTTTTTTTCTGGCTTGTGTAATCGTGAGCTAGGGAGCCTGTCTCTCCCAGTCCCCGTCCCTGGGCACCAGGACTCACAGGTACTCCAGTCTGCATTCTGGCCCTGCACAAATAGGCTGGCCACCTGACCGCCCGGCTCCAGGCGGCACTGGAACCAGCCCTCGGGGCTGGAGTTGGTCAGCATCGGTGCACCCAGCCATGCCCAGGCCCCAGCCTCCCTCCTCTGGTAGGCAGCTAGGCCTCCGGGGGCCAGGGTCCAGCGCACAGCCACTCCAGACCCGCAGGATGCCTGGCACAGCAGCCCCCAGGCAGCTGCCTTCTCGGTCGCTGGTGTGGGAGCCTGGCGGATCTCAGGGTGGCAGCTGCGGGGGCTGTGGGGGCTGGGCGAGAAGGCCTGCTTGGGGGTGGCCTGTGGGGAGGGGGTGTCTGGGGGCTCTGCGGAGATAGAGTTGGGGCGCGGTGTGGAGATGGAGTGGCGGGACCCCAGTGAGGTGAGGTCTGAGGGCTTCAAGAGGTCTGAGGGCTTCAGTGAGGTCAGGCTGGGTGGCTCCGGAGAGGTCTGGCTGTGCAGGACTAGAACACAGAGAAGCCATTTTTCTACTGTAGCCCAGGCCCGACTCCTCCCTGAGCGTCCCTGTCTGGCCCCTCCAGGACTCTCCCAGACCACTCTGGTGGCCGAATATCAGAGTGGGCAGAATCAGGCAAGGGACCTTGAGCCACCACTTTCCCCTCCTCCCATCCTCCTCCTCCTTCCTTTTTTGTGCAACACCAGGGATGGAACTCAGTGTTCACCACTGAGCCACACCTGCCTGAGACATGATCCTGCTAAGTTGCCCAGGCTGGGCTCAAACATGGCACCTTCCTGCCTCAGCCTCCCAGAGATGATAGGAGCGTGTCATCAGGCCTGGCTTGTAGGGTGAACATCCCAGGAGTACAGCTGCCTCTGTGTCCCGTCACACGCCTCCCTGCCTCTGCCTGCAGTCCAGGCCCCAACACTCCACACTAGGACCCAGGGCCAGCCCGCTGACACAAGCATGAGTGTGAACGCTGCCCAGAGCACACACACACACACACACGTCGGTCACAGGAGTTAAGCACCTGCTGTGTGCCAGGGTCCTTTCTAGCTGCTGAGGACACAACCCTAGACGGGACATACAGATTCCCAGCTCTGTGACACCAATGGTAGAGGACAGAGAATGGGTACAACAGGACACAGAGGACACTGGGTGTCAATGGAGGGACAGGTGTGTGTGGGCACACCTGGGGGTGAGGGTGGGACCTTTACCCAGGGTACTCAGGGGCGGCCACATTAGGGTCACATTGGAGCAAAGAGCTGAGGAAGTAAGGGGGAGGAACCTCTGAGAGAGGTGATCCAGGGGGCATAGCCTGTGCAAAGGCCCTGAAGCAGGACAGAGGTTGGTGTGTGGGAGAAATAGCAGGGAAACTGGTGTGGCTGCAACAGAGGGAACATGTTAACAGGGCCAGTTGTGCAGGCATCTGTGGCCTATGGTGGCGCAGAACTTTGACCCCAAGGGAGATGGGAGCTGTGGAGAGTTTGGGAGGGTGGCACCGTAGGGCCCGCACAACATAGGTGCTCAGGAGACATCTGTTGAATTAATGACTTGCTCTCTGGCTGCCACAGAGTGGCACAGCAAAGATGGAGTCCAGTCTTCCCAAGTGCCCCATGTGCTGGGCACTGTGTCTGCCAAGCCCTGACTGGGACCACAGGTGAGGATGGGCACTGTGATGCGCTTGGCCTGGGTGGCCAGGAGTAACCTGCTCACCTGGAAGGGGCCTGCGGTGGCTCAGCTCCAGGCCGGGCAGCCGCATGGTGGCCTGGCAGTGCAGGGTGGCCGGGACGGGAGTGCTCAGGGTGGGCAGCAGCCAGCGCTGGGTCACCCAGAATAGCGGGTCTTCGGCCTCCAGAGCCGCCTCCTCCTCAGCCTCCTCCCGGCCCAGGGCCTGGACTCCCTCCAGCTCCTGGTCCCCCAGGAGCAGGGAGAAGGAGAGGGCGTCTGGGTCCTGGGCCGTGACGTTGTGGGCCGTGCAGGCCACCTCCCTGTCCCGCCCCGGCTCCAGGGTGGCCGGGGACACGGTCAGCTGGTCCGGGAAGGCTGTGGGCAGAGTGGGCCCAGGTGGAGCCCCGGGGTCAGGCTGGACTTGGTGGAGGGGCTGGGGCG